CATTCGGCACACTGTTGTCAACCCAATCCGTGAAGTGGAACTGGGTGACGGTCCACGGCTAGAGGGTTGAAACGGAATAACTCACGTAACCAAGCAACACATCACTTAGTGTGGCTCGTGAGAAAGCACCACCTACCGACGCCTCGCTCGAGGGATGTATTTTCAACTCACGACGTATGACGCTACCGAGGTTCTCTTCACTCTCCTTCCTCACTTCCACAGTGCACTTCGCCGATTCGAATGTCGACGTCATTCCATCGGGCCAGTACTGTGTACACTTTATTTTGCCATCTTCAATGCATCTGCAAATATTAACAGAAAGATTATTAGATAGTGTGATCAAGTGTTGCGTCCGGCCAACGCTGATGGGTATCATGAAATGGTGCGGTCTCGCATATAAAGCAAATACGACACAAGACTCGGTGAGTGAACGTGGCTGCGTGCTGCATGCAAACGACAGGCAGGTGAATAACGCGCAACGAAACCAAACAGAAGCGCCAAACCACTTGTCTAATACACGATTTTTACCTCTGTTAGGAATAGTGTAGCATAGTCCTGTAAGGCGTGTTTGGCACTTTATAAAAATTTAATCAGCCTCGTTGCAGTGAGGAATTTCTCGAATATTTTGAAGTGGTGTAGTTTGAAAATAGGCGCTTACTGTACTGCTCTTGTTCTCACAAACGCCACTGCAACAAAGATGTGGCAGTAAAAATATCCAATACGCTAGATTGTCATGCAGCCATTGCCACTTCTACCTTCACTATTTCTCTGGCATTATTATTAGTGAACAATGAGCATTCATTCGTGGACGATGGATAGGACACATGGTTACGCTTTCCTCCTTTCCATGTTTCAATTGTCTAAGCGATATATCAGCAAAAGTAGGTCCATGATGCTCGACAGTCAGGAGGATTGGAAGAGAGAAGGGGTATCCAAACATGTATTACATTTTTTACCAAAACTCAGTGATAAAGTAAAAGTTGAAAACCACTCATTTGTGAAGAAATTTAGAGTCGAGATGGATAAACATGTGAAAGACCGGCCTTATAGTTGTTACATCTGCTCTGCAAATCAAAAGCACCACAGAATACCCAGGTATGTACGAATGTAAGGAAAGAAGAGAAGCATTACAGTGTTATCAGTTACTTCAGGCTTCGGCGATTTCCTTTTTATTGCTTATACTGCTGCTGTGGAAGCAGATGTTGGTGCAGCATTGAATGCTACGGTAAATCGTGTTGTATGACGCTTCATTCATGAGGAAAGTGACAAGAAGGCATGCTCCCACAATTGTAGGTAGAGTGGGAGTGGACATGCGGACATGAATAAGACGAAGAAGTGTAGTTGGCAAATGACTGGATGGAGGCGAGGAAGGAGGACGGTAGGAGGATTTGAATGCTAAGCACAAGCAGACAGGCAGGCAGGGGAAGCGGCAGTTGTGGTTGTGAAGTTTCCATTGACGGCTTTACTCATAATTGCGAGCAGATCAATGGAAGACTGGCACAGAAATTCTCACAATTCTGCTTCATTTCTCTCGAATTTTGAACAGGCACAGAGTCATTGTGATTACCAGAGTAAGGTGTTGACAGCGTCAAAATGTGTCTCCTTAATCACATTCGCACTTAATACCTAAAGGTGACACAGTCAAAATGAAATGCACTAAAGGAGGTCAGAAAGCGAAAGGCCAAATGAGAAGAGGAAACAGAAAAGTAGAAGTTGAAGTCGACCAATTGGCGGGGTTGACAACCGAAAAGGACTAGTTAGTTAGACCAAAGATTGTCCAGATTCTGTAGACAGAAGCCAAACGGGGCATAGAAGGAAAGATGGAGCGTCACTAAGCTTACTGG